CAGCCACTTTGTTCGAGTTTCTTCTTTACACCTTTTCTATTTTTTCATGATTTATATCCGTTTGCTGTCGTTAACGATAGCTCGCTATTTATCTCTTTCGCACATGCTCATTTGTAGTTACGCTAGAAGGCTGAGTGAAATGTTGCTTTTAAAGGCCCTCTTCACTTCTCGAAGCTCGAGCACATTTACACACATACTTCTTTTTCCGTTTTCTTCTTTCCACATCCACTAAAATTTTTCGATACAAAATCCCCTCAATTGGGTTCAAAGCTTTCAATTTTGTTGTTTAATTCATCAATTACACATTTTCTTATTAGCTCTATCCACAAATTCGGCAAATTATTCACTTATGCATTACGCTTTTAACTGAATTAGAAATATTCCACTCAATTCAATTAAATTTCGAATATTTTCAACATTCGTTTCTGCGCGTTTTGCCACTGCCAACTCTGTGGCACACGCACGCACACACACACACAACTCGTTCATTCGCGCCGCACATACAATGGCATACGTCGGCTACGACAGTACAAGTAGCAGCAACGGCGGCTTCTTCTCGTCTCGGGCTCCACTCTGTATAGCTACTACGCTGATGACGGGCGCGACGTCCTCGCTGCTGCTTCGGCCAGTGCAGTGACTGCGAAGACGACGACAGCGAACAGAAAGTAGGCTTATAAACTATGAATTACGCCAAAAATTCACTACACCGATAAAATGCGATTATGCATTAGGAAATTTTCACTTTAATACACATAAAATTAAACATTTTGCACCCTCAAATTCACGTCTTTTCACAATTTTTCCACGAATTTCTACTCGTACGCGCTACACTGTTTCAATTTCTTGCATTTCGCTCCTTCGTTTTCAATAGAGATGGGAGCTGCCGAATAAAAATTATCAAGTCATTCGATAGTTCATCAATTTTCATTCATTCGATAGTTCTAAGCAATCACTCATGAGTGATTTTCATTCTCGAGATTTTAACAATAAAAATTACAGTTGTTATCATTAGAGCGCGTAAGCTGAAGCTCCATAGCAGGTTTTTCAGGCGTTGAGGCTTGAGGCGCTCAAGTCTTAAATATGATTTAGTGCAATGGTATAGAAGCTGCTCTACAACCGAAGTGCGAAAAGCCTGAAAGAAGCCAACTATCGAACTTGTTTCAGACTTTGTAGGCTTTTCAGGCGTCGTCTGACAGTTAACACATTCGAACATTAGTACTGGTAAATATGATTATGGCAACATAAGGAAAAAGTATTAATTAAATGAAAATAAGTATGAAAATGTACTGGCTAAACAAAAATGAAATGGTAACAACCGATTTACATGATTCAAGTACTTGAAAGCAATTCTTGCTCATTCTCTTTTGTGTTTCTATTTGCTTTTACACGTTTCAATTCTGTTGAATTCAAGTTTTTAGTTCTTTAAATGGGAAGCAACGAAAATGCCAAAAGCAAAGCAAGAAAGTTGAAACGACTTGACGGTACAGATGCATGTGTACTCGTCCCCTTTCTTCTAACTCCCTCTCTTCCACATGCGAGCAGAATTGAATTCAATACTTGAACTGTGTAAAAGCAGTCTAAAAAAGTATCACTTTTATCGAACTAGTATTTTTTAGTCGATATCTCATTTGTCGGGAAACTCATTCCCATTTACTGCGAAATGTCAAAAGTTCGAAGAAACGTCAAGCGCGGAAACTTTGTTGTGGAGTTGCTCACCTGAAAAGCCAGTAAAGCCCATGATTCAATTATTAAAGGTTTTGTAAGTAGCTTTTTTCTAAAATTTGACACTCCGCCCACAGGGATGGTTTAAGGAAGCAGGAGTAAAGGGGGAAGAACTCAATCACACTTCCTAAAATGGGAGATAAATTCCATAAAAAGATATGGATAATAGTGAATGGTGGTATTTTAAAACAAAAACGAATTTGATTTAGTTATTTAATTTAAACAAGCTTATTTAAATCGAATATAACCTCTGATTGTTATAAAAATAAATATTTCGATGTATATACCAAACTTGCGTACGCCAGACGGCGCATAACTCGAGAATGGATGGCACACTTTGAGCTTTTCTTTGTTGTACTTGTTTGCCATATCATGGATATGAAGAAGCTTTTTGTTTGTGAAAAACTTATGCAACATTTATAAAAAAAAAAAAAAAAAAATTAAAAATTTGGAGCTTACTTTGCTTTCGCCCGCCCTTTTTCCTGATTTCAAGGGTATATAAAATGTTTTGTGCAAATGATTAA